AAAGAGTGCTTTTACCCACCACTCCCCCATATGTGGCATTCTCTGGTCATGCCCCTGCCCTGCCCTCCACTCTAAGGCTTTGACCTTGATGATTTGGGAGCTGCCAAGCTGGGAGAAGTGGTTCTTCGCCATCTCCTGGGGGTCCAGGGGAGTGGCCTTCTGATCTCCACTGCTCCAGAGTGGGGCTTCATCCGAATGGGCCTGGGAGAGCTCCTTGGGGGCCTGCAATTCTGCCTGCAAGCCTTCTCCAGCTGGCCAGGGGCAGAGTGGGGTAAGGGCAGGGCAAAGGTGGGCTTATGGTCTAGTTTGGGACAGGGCAGGGTTAGGGTAGGGTAATTTGTAATCAGGGTCAGGCCTGTGCCCAGTTTCGGGACTGGGGTCAGAGTGGTGGGGGTTAGGGTGAGGCCATTACAGGGTTAGGGTTCAGATCAGAGTTGGGTTTTGGAGCAAATCTGGGGCAAGGTTGAGGTCAGGGGTGTGGGTATGGGTCTGCCAGAGGTTGCAGTTGGGGCAGAGGTTGGTATGCCACAGAGCTCACCTTTGTGGCATATCAAGAGCTGGTAGAGACAGCTTGCCCCTTCCAGGCTGTAGCACTGGGCGACCCTGTCTGGGTCCTGGCACAGCATCCCTGGTATGCCCACCAGTTGCCCAATTCGTTTGAAGTTCTCCTTTGGCTGTGTTGAAGGAAAGGGAATCACTGATGCAGAGTCTCCCTGCAGAGCTCTGCCATGTAGTCACCCAGCACAGCCTACGTCAGAGATGACCCCTCCAGTGGTGTGGCAGGGCCAGGCCTGGGGACTGGGCAAGACATTCAGTAATCAAGAGAAATAATATTTCAATGCAACATTTAGAAAAATCAGAATAAATGCAAAAAACTCCATGATGAACAAAATCTCAAAACTGTCAGTGAAATCAGGATCTGACCCTGCCCTTGCCTGTCACCTCGCCTGTCCTACCCTCATCCTGGTCCTGGTGTACTAAGACCAGTGAAGTCAGGATCTGACCCTGCCCTTGCCTGTCACCTCGCCTGTCCCACCCTCATCCTGGTCCTGGTTTACTAAGACCAGTGACGTCAGGATCTGACCCTGCCCTTGCCTGTCACCTTGCCTGTCCCATCCTCATCCTGGTCCTGGTTTAATAAGACTTTATTTACCAAAGCAGGTGGTCAGCCCATGGGCCATAGCTTGGCAAACTGATCTTTAAAAACATCACATGAAAATGTGAATGCTCTTGATGACAGAATTTTTGTTGCCATGGTAAATTTCGTGTGCAAGGTGAGTACCTTTCCTGCCCTACTCTGGTCCAGTCCTGCGATGTTGAAATGGATTTTGAGTAAATTGAAGCCACTTTAATTGCCCTCCTCCTCCTAGGAGTGCAGAGTCTTTCCCTTGGCAGAACAGCCCGTCTCCCTCCAGCACTTCTGCCTCCTGACCTGCTTAGGCCAGGCAGCCTCCAGGCACCAGGGCAAAGAACTCAGTTCTGCATCCCCCAGTCTGCCTAGGGAGTTAATGCAGTTTGGGTGGATAGTCACCAAGCGCACTCTCTGACCACGTGTTGATGCAACCCAGGGGCAGTAGCCATGTGACTACTGTGGGGGCTGTGAGCCATGTGATGATGAGGGCTGCACTGGTGGGGGGGGGGTGGGGTGGCCACTCCATGCAGCAGGAACCCTATTCTCTTGAAGGGCCGCACAGTTTACCAGCCTTCTCACAGCCTCCACCTCATCCGAGCCCCACCATATGCCTCTAGGGAGGGGCCATTTCCAACCACTTTACAGATGAGAAGCTGGGGCTTGTGAAACAGAAACACCTGTACAAAGCCTCAGGTGCATGGACAGGTGGCTAGCTCCAGGGTCAGGGGTCAGGGGTCAGGGGTCAGAGGTCAGCGTGACCTGCCTTCAGATCCCAGCTGTGAGGCCTCGGGCAGGTCCTGCCCCTGCCCACCTGTTCCCTCACTTGCAAGGAGGGAGATTGCCTCGGTCGCCTGTCAATATAGAGCCTGGCCGGGGTGCAGGGGACTCAAGGATCCAGCCTGTCCTGGAGGCAGGTGTTCAGAGGGCCTTGAACCCTACGAACCCTGGAGGGATCTGGGAGGACAGCGGCTCTGGCTGGGCCCCAGTGATCCAGGGCAGGAGGCCCAGCGGCAGAGCGGGTGCGGGGTGTGGGACGTGCCAGCCTCGTACTCACATCCAAGTAGTCACCATGGTTCAGGAATTTGAGGAGGATCATGCAGCTGTGCACAGCCTGCTGCCGCTCCTGCGCCTTCTCCGACGCCAGCCAGATGTACAGGTGCTGCGGGGTGGGCAGGGTCAGGGAGAGAGTTCTGTGGGGCCGCTGGCCCAGGCCCCGCCCACCACGTGCCCAGGTGCCGCCCACTGGGCCCAGGCCCGCCCACCCCAGCTCCACCCCTCCGCAAGGCTCCATCCATCCAAGGCAACGCCCTGCCTCTGGGTTTCAGAGGCTTACAAAGGCATCTCGAAACAGGTATGTTCAATAGTTTTAGGCCAAATCTGAGCTCTTTATTGAGGTGATAAATGATGAGATGTATAATTAGTGACTCTGAAGTAGGATGAAGGTACCCGGTATTTGGAGATTCTGTGACCACTGGTGTCCCAGAAACATATCTGTGACTACCCCAGGACCCGCTAGGCTCCTCTGCACTGCTCACCTTTGCCCTGTGTGCTCTCTGCCTGCTGGGCCCTGCCCTTCCCTTCTCTGCCCGTGACTGCCTTAGTCCTCATCCAGGGCTGCGAGAAGCCTTGACCTCTGAGCCAGAGCTAGCCGCCCCTCCCTGGACCTCCGCCTGCCCCCTCACTGGTCTCCCTCCTGACAAGGCAGGGAGTGCAGGTGCGAGTAGGGGCAGAGGGTTTGGAGACCCTTCAGGGGACACTGCAGGGGAAGTCTCCAGGAGGGGAGGCCTGGACCTTTCCTTCCCTTCCTTCCTTCCTCCCTCCATTTTTCCCTCCCTCCCTTCCTCTCCCTTCCTTCCTTCCTTCCTTCTCTCTCTTTTTTGTTGAGACAGAGTTTTGCTCTTTCACCCAGGCTGGAGTGAAGTGGCATGATCTTGGCTCACTGCAACTTCCAGCCCCCGGGTTCAAGCAGTTCTCCTGCCTCAGCCTCCCAGGTAGCCGGGATTACAGGTGTCCACCACTACGTCTGGCTATTTTTTTTTTTTTTTGTATTTTTAGTAGAGACAAGGTTTCACTATGTTGGCCGGGCTGGTCTTGAACTCCTGACCACAGATGATCCATCTCCTTGGCTTCCCAAAGTGCTGGGATTACAAGAATGAGCCACTGTGCCCAGCCCATCAGCCCTCTTTCCACCAGGCCACCTGCTGTCCCTTCCTCCCCAGTTCCCAAAACCATTATGATCCCTAAGTGGGGGCCTTCACCCCTCCTCACTCCTGGACCACTTGAAGCCTCTAGGTCCGGCCCTGCCTCCTCTGGGAAGCCCACCTTTGGGCTCTGGCCACAGGCCAAGGACCCCTTGGTCCCAGCTGCCTGGCCTCCCCACAGCCTCACCGACAGCAGAAAATGCAGCTGGTGGGGTTCTCCATGATGAGGCTTTGCAGCATGAGGTCCAGCGCCTCTGTGGTCCTGTTATACAGGCTCTGCATAGAGGCCAGGGTGGTCAGGCAGCACCATGCCCAGGTGAACGCAGGGCTTGAGGGGGGCCCACCTCCTGCATGTGCCAGGCTGCTCATCACTGGGGCTCACCACTGGGCCTGTGAGGGGGCTGCCATGGCCCCCATTTGGCAGATGTGGGGACGGCTGGGGAGGCCTCCAGTGATTACCCAGGGCACAGGTTTGTCAGTGGCACAGGGGAGTTTGTTCCTTGCAGGGTGAGCTTCACAGGAGGGGCCCCAAGTGGTCCCAGGGTCCCGAGCTGGAAAGGGCCATGTGCTGGGTGAATGCTCTGGAGGTTCTTAGGTTTGAAGCAGGGGCTGGCATCTTAATTTTGCCAGGCCCTGCCAATGATGCCATGGGCTGAGTTCTGGGTCTTACATGCCATGCCCCTAGTCTTTACTGCTTTGCTTGCTGGGCAGGCTCAGGGAGGGTGGGCACCACAGAAATGCCTCCGGCTCCCCTCTCCTGAAGGCCCCACCAGAAGCAGAGCCCTTGGGCTCTGGCCACTCTCTAGGTGCCTTGGGGAACTTGCTTTACCTCTCTGAGCTTACTTTCCTCACCTGAGAATGGCATGAATCCTGCCCCACCTACCAGGGCGGAGGCAGGCATGGGAGTCAACAGGAACCCCAGCTCAGTACTCCCAGTGCCAGAGCCCCAGACCCCGGGTGGCACTTCCTGGGTGAACCAGCCTCATTGTTACCATGTCACCAGGTAACGGGGTCACTCTGAATTGCAGTGGGATTGGGGTGTGGCCAGGTGCCACCCTTCTGGAGAGCTGTGTTGCCCTGGGCCCAGGGTACCCTCATTCTCTCACCACCACACCCTAAATGTCTACCTGTCTAGTTCCAGCCTGGACTCAGCCTTGGGAGGCACAGACAGGGTTCAAACCCTGCCTCTTCCCCCAGACAGCCTCATTTCTTGGAGCATTTCTTTACCCTGGGCTGGTGTGGGGAAGGTGAGATAAAGGAGCTAGGGCCTGGCACCCAGCAGGGGCTCTGTTAACTCCAGCTCTGGCCACAGGCTGAGGACCGCTCAACCTTAGGAGGTCAGGTGTGGTGACTGTGTCCAGGAGCCACACATGTACCAGCTGGTGACCATGAGCAATGGCTGGCATCTCCCTGCAGGGACGGCTTCTACTAAACAGGACCCAGGAAGGAGTGGGCACTGGCCAGGCCAGGAGAGCAATCCTGGAGCTCCTTCCTCCAGCCTCCTGGGGTGGCAGAGTGGGCTGGGCACACCCTGGGCACAGCACCACCACTTAGTAGCTGTGTGGTGAGAGTGGGCCCACCCTGCAGGGAAGAAGACTCACTCCAGGTTTTGCAGGGACCCCTAGAAGATTGGGGAGCTCATCTCTCTTCTTCTCTGCTTCCCTTAGGCTACTGGGGAGCTCGGTGAAAACTCAGACCTGACCCTGCCACGTAGCATGATGGCCAGGCCTGCAGAGCTGGACAGCCCGAACTTCTCGCTGGCTCTCAAGGTCGGCAGGGAGGGAGGGAGGGTCAGAGGCAGGATTGACAAACGTGAAGATAAACATTTTAAAAAGCTTGTTCAGCAAAATTGCTGTCAATCAAGTTGAAAGATGAGGTGAAGTTTTGTTTTGAGTTTTGTTGCTGTCTATTGCCAAGGGTTAACACCCGAGATCAACAACCCCCACTTTATAAATCAATAAGAAGGCGACAAACGAGACATGGTAAAATGATCAGGAGATGTGCACAGAAGATACTGTGCATGCAACCTCGCTAATACTCACGGAATGAAAACTAATGCAATGCTTTGACTAAGACTGGCAAAAAGTCGAACACCGACTATCAGCAAGCAGGTGTCCTGTGGTGGGAGAGTGAATGGATCTGCAGTTTTGGAAGATTCTGTCAATCTCAATTAAAAGGCAATATCGATATCAAAGCTTAAGATATACAGTTTTCCCAAGCAACTCCATTTCTAGAAGTCTGTCCTAAAGGAAAACTGAATTCATGATGCCGGGAGCAGGAGGAGCATCTGGTGCTGCAGAAGACATAGGTGGGACTGTTTCCACCCTCCTTGGGGTTGATCCCCTGGTCCCTGGAATGGAAATGCCTCCTCCCCACCAAGGTCTGCCCAAGGTGTACCTCCTCCTGGCCATTTGTAAAACACTGGGGTACAGCAGGACCTGGAGGGGCTCTCTCACCCATAAGACAGGTCTCAGCAGAATCTCCATGAAACCCCAACCCCCAGAAAGCCTCCAGGTCCCCCAGAAGGTCCCCTCCCCCAAACGTTCACTGTCTTTGTTCACTGTTGCATATAACAGCACTAGAGTTCCTTGCCTAAAATTCAAATTCCCGAACTCAGAAAATTAAACATTTTTTCACCCACAGCTTTGCAGCAACCTCACTGGATAGCAGACACTGGGCCACACTGACGTGATGCAATTTGTGGGACCTGGTGTGACTGTTTGTCTGCTTCTGTAGCAGGGATGCTAATCTATTTCATTCTGCATCTGCCCAGACCTGCTAAGGGTGTTCTTGGAATATGCAGTGTGTATATCGTATTACTTTTAAAAAATATAAAATATTCTGATTTTTGAAGCACATCCCTTCCCAAAACTTTTCATTTTTAAAGTTTTAAGTATTAAAATAACTCAAGGTATTTTAACTCACAATGAAGTGCACAGATCTTTGCTGTAGAGCTGGTGGGAAGTAGAATAGTTCCTTTTTAACATTTCCTTTCTTGTTACAGAATAAGTGTGCTAATAACTCTTTGTTAAGCCCTATCCTATGTAGCTGTTAAACATGCCGTGCTTACAGGCACATAGTACTTTCTGTGTCCTTGTGCTTTAACCAGGATATCTGTGCTGGACATGATTACAGGCATGTCCCAGCTCTCCAGCTTTTACCTGTTTAGAAAAGTTTTAAGTTGAGCTGGGTGCGGTGGCTCAAGTCTGTAATCCCAGCCCTTTGGGAGGCTGAGGCGGGTGGATCATGAGGTCAAGAGATCGAGACCATCCTCATCAACATGGTGAAACCCCGTCTCTACTGAAAATACAAAAAAGTAGCTGGGCATGGTGGCGCATGCCTGTAATCCCAGCTACTCAGGAGGCTGAGGCAGGAGAATTGCCTGAACCCAGGAGGCGGAGGTTGCAGTGAGCCAAGATCGCGCCATTGCACTCCAGCCTGGGTAACAAGAGCGAAACTCCGTCTCGAGAGAAAAAAAAAGTTTTAAGTTGTTAATCAGTTGGGTTTTAGTTTAAATTGTGAGATCTGGCTCCAGCCAATGGAGATCAGACACAGCAGTAAGAACAATTCCAAATGTGTAAGGTATACATTTGTGTGTTTTCCTTTGTTCCTTGTACTCTTGTGGCAAGATGGCTAGCAAAGGTACCCTTCCTGCAGTCCAGGACGTAAAATAAAAACTGCGTTGCTGAAAGATCCTTTGTCTCAGTGCTAATTTTTCTTTGCGACACTGAACATCTATTTCCAACAGGGCTCATGTAATTCACATCCTCTCAGGATAGGGAGCTTTTGCCACCACCCCAAAAATCTCTCTTGCCCCTTCCTGGTTAAGCTCCATCACTACAGAATGGTTCTGATTTCACCGCAGATTAGTTTTGCCTTTTCTAGACTCACATGACGCTGGAAGCATGTAATTGGAAGCATGCTGTCTGTGTGGAAGCATGTCATTGGAAGCATGCCGTCTGTGTGGAAGCAGGTAATTGGAAGCATGCCGTCTGTGTGGAAGCAGGTCATTGGAAGCATGCCGTCTGTGTGGAAGCAGGTCATTGGAAGCATGCCGTCTGTGTGGAAGCATGTCATTGGAAGCATGCCGTCTGTGTGGAAGCATGTAATTGTAAGCATGCCGTCTGTGTGGAAGCATGTAATGTGTGGAAGCATGCCGTCTGTGTGGAAGCATGTAATGTGTGGAAGCATGCCGTCTGTGTGGAAGCATGTAATGTGTGGAAGCATGCCGTCTGTGTGGAAGCATGTAATGTGTGGAAGCATGCCGTCTGTGTGGAAGCATGTAATGTGTGGAAGCATGCCGTCTGTGTGGAAGCATGTAATGTGTGGAAGCATGCCGTCTGTGTGGAAGCATGTAATTGGAAGCATGCCGTCTGTGTGGAAGCATGTCATTGGAAGCATGCCGTCTGTGATCTTCTGTGTCTGGTACTTTTTCACTCAGCACAAGGTTTCCGGGATTCACCCATGTCGTTGCGTGTACTGAAAGTTCATTCCTCTTTTACTATTTCAACTTTTGTGATTTCATTTCCTTTGCTTGGTTCAGGTTTAACCTGAACCTTCTCTGGTTTCCTGAGATGGACACTTAGATGATTGACTTTAGATCTTTTCGTGGGGCTGTGCAATATTCTGCCTGTCTGGGTTGTTTCTAGTTCAAGGCTAGAATGAATTAGCCTGCTATGACCATTTTTGTAGAAGTAATTTTGTGTATGTGTGTTTTCACATCTCTTGAGTAAAATACTGAAAAGTGGGATTGCTGAGTCGTATGTTAACTTCAGAAGAAAATGTCAGTTTTCCAAAGAGGCTGTGCCATTTCCCATCCCACCTTCAACGTTCTACGCACCCCACGTCCTTGCCAATGTCTGCCGTGGTCCTTTTTTTCACCTGTGTGCCCTTGGGGGAGACACAGAGGCGGTTTCTTGTGTGGTTTTTTTTTTTTTTTTTTTTTTTTTTTGAGACGGAGTTTTGCTCTTGTTACCCAGGCTGGAGTGCAATGGCGCGATCTCGGCTCACCGCAACCTCCGCCTCCTGGGTTCAGGCAATTCTCCTGCCTCAGCCTCCTGAGTAGCTGGAATTATAGGCATGCGCCACAATGCCCAGCTAATTTTTGTATTTTTAGTAGAGATGGGGTTTCACCATGTTGACCAGGATGGTCTCCATCTCTTGACCTCATGATCCACCTGCCTCGGCCTCCCAAAGTGCTGGATTATAGGCATGAGCCACTGTGCCCAGCCTTCTTTTGGTTCTAACTGGGGCTTCCCTGAGGATTAACGATGCTGATCGTTTTTTCACTTGCTTATTGGCCATTCAGCTGTCTTCCTTCCTGAAGTGCTTTGCGGCTATTTTGCTCATTTAAACACTGATCTGTTTGTCTCTTGCTCACTGAGTTGTAGAAGTTCTGTATTTATTCTGGATACAGTCTCTTGTCAGATACATAAATTGAGTATTTTCTCCATGTCTGTGGCTTTCCTTTTTGTTTTCTTAGTGATATCAGTTGATGAGACATTTTAATTTTGATAAACTCTAGCATATTTTTTTTCTTTATGATGATTACTTCCTGAGCCCTAAGAAATATCTATCTACCTTAAGGCTGGCAAGATTTTCTCCCATGTTTCTTTCTAGACAGTTTTCAATTTTACCTTTTAGATCTTGGCTCCATCTCTAATTAACATTTGGGAATGGTTTGAACTAGGCACTAAAGTTCATTTATTTTCTTACGTATGTGAAATGGTTTCAGAACTATCTGTTCAATGTTTCCCCATTGAGCTGCTTTGATACCTTTTTGAAAAAGATCAATCAACTGTTTACATGTAGTTCCATGTTGGATTTTCTATCCTGTTCAATTGATTTATTCGTTTAACCCCTGCCAGGGCCTCATGTCTTGTTTGCTGCAGCCCTGCAGTAAATCTTGAAATCAAGTAGTGGATTTCTTGCAACTTTTTTCTTTTTCATAATTGTTTTAGCTATGCTAGGTTCTTCAGAATTTCTTTATAAAAATGTATTCCATAGCTTATATTTAATCCTACAATACAGTTTTCTGAGATTGATTGGTGTCACATTCAGTATATGAATCAATTTTGGGAGAATTGACATAGTTATCGAATCGTTTTGTTTACAAACACCATCTCTCTCCATTTTTAAGGGTTGTTTTCATTTCTCTTTGCAGTGCTTTTAAAAATATTGCATATATTTTGTTGCATTTATCTTTTTTTGTATCTTTAATGCTGCCGAAAATGTCATTTTTAAGAAAAAGTGTATTTTCTAATTGTTTGTCACCAGTATATAAAAGTTCAATTGATTTTTGTATATTGAACTTGTATCCTGAGATCTTGCTCGATCCAATTCTTAGTAATTATCAGTTCTAGTATTTTAAATATGATTCTGTAAGACTTTCTAAGAACATAGTCACACTGTCTACACAAGAGATAGTTTTACTTTTTCAATTGCAATCTCTATGTCTTTTTTCCCTTCTTCTTTTTTTTTTTTTTGGAGACGGAGTTTTGCTCTTGTTACCAGGCGATCTCGGCTCACCGCAACCTCTGCCTCCTGGGTTCAGGCAATTCTCCTGCCTCAGCCTCCTGCCCTTCTCCTTTTTCTTACCTTACTGCATTGGCTGGCAACTTCAGTGCAATGTTGACTGGAAGTGGAGAGAAAGGACACCTTTGCCTCATTCCTGATCTTAGTGGGAAAGTGTTTGGTCTTTGATTATTAAGTGTGTTAACTCTAGCTCTAGACGTCCACTTCACACTGAGGCACTTTCCTTCTGCACCTGGTTTGTTGAGAGCTTTTATCGTGATAAGGTGTTGGGTTCTGTCAGATGCCTTTTCCACATTATTTTTTATAAATATGATAGAACTTTTTCTGCTTTATTCTGTTAATGTGTTGAATTGCACTTACTGTTTTTCAAATGTTAAATTCACCTTGTGTCCCTGGGATAAACCCTCCTTAATCATGGTGTATTATCCTTTTATTCAATTTGCTAATATTTTGTTAAGATTTTTGAGTCTATTTTCATAAAATACATTGGTCCTTAGTTTTCTTTCTTTTGGTAATGTCTTTGGTTGTGTTGCCCTTATAAAATGATTTAGGAAATTATTCCTTCCTCTCTATTTTCTTGAAGAAATTTGTGTAGAATCAATATTACTTCTTTTTTTAACTTTTTGATAGAATTCACAGAGAAATGTCTGGGCTTGAAGTTTTCTAAGTGAGAATGTTTTAAATTATGATTTACATTTTTTAATATATACAGGACTATTCATTTTTTGTTTCTTCTTATATCAGTTTGGTAATATGTGGTTTTTAGAGAATTTGTATATTCCATCTAAATTATCTAATTTATTGAATATTCATTATAATTTTCTAACGTCCAAAGGATTTGTAGTGTCGTCCCTTATTCCTTTCTGAAATTGGTATTTTGTGTTTTCTCGCTTCTTGATCAGTCTAGTGACAGGTCTATCTATCTATCTGTCTATCTATCTGTTTATTATAGAGATTGGTCTTGCTCTGCTGCCCAGGCTGGAGTGCAGTGGTTTGATCCTAGCTCACTGCAGCTTCAAATCCTGGGCTTAAGCAATCCTTCTGCCTTAGCCTTATGAGTAGCTGGACTACAGGTATAAGCTGCTATGCCTGGCTAAGTTTTAGAAATTTTATTTTTTAAATCTCATATTCAACCCCAATATGTTTTTTTAGAGACAGGGTCTTACTACATTGCTCGGGTTGGTCTTGAACCCCTGGCCTCAAGCAATTCATCTGCCTCAGCTTCCAGAGTAGCTGGGATTACAGGCAGAAGCCACCGCATCTGGCTCAATGTATTGATCTTTTTGTTTTAGTCATTTCTGTTTTTGTCCCTTTTTGTTTCTTTGATTTCTGCTCTAGTTTGTGTTATTCCTTCCTTCTACTTACTCTGAGTCGATTCTTTTCTCATTTTTTGGCTAACTTCTTAAAATGGAGGCTTAGATAATTGATTTTGTATCTTTCCTCTTTTCTAATATAGACATTAAATATAAATTTCCTTCTAAGTATTGCTTTTTATTGCATCCCACAGATTTCATATGTCGTGTTTCATTATCATTCAGTTCAAAATATTTTCTAATTTTCCTTGCGATTTCTTCTTCTTATTTAGAAATGTTTTGTTTAATTTCCAAGGATTTGAAGTTTCTCCAGATATATTTTATATTGAACTCTAATTTGTGTTTTAGTTAGAGAATATACTCTGTTTGATTTCTGCCATTTAAAATTTGTTGAAACCTGATATATGGCCTGGCATATGGTCTATCTTGGTGAATTTTTAAAATTTAATATTTTAAATTTTGGTGGGTATATAGCACATATATACATTTATGAGGTATATGGGATATTCTGCTACAGGTGTGCAATGTGTAATAATCACATAAGGGTAAATGAGGTATCCGTCACCTCAAGCATTTATCCTTTGTGTTACAATCCAATTATACTCTTTTCGTTATTTTTAATTTTCTTATTTTTTAAGATGGAGTCTCACTCTGTTGCCCAGGCTGGAGTGTAATGGCATGATCTTGGTTCACTGCTACCTCCACTTCCTAGGTTCAAGCAATTCTCTGCCTCAGCTTCCGAGTAGCTGGGCCTACAGGTGCGTGCCACCACACCCAGCTGATTTTCTTATTTTTTAGTAAAGACAGGGTTTCGCCATGTTGGGCCAGCTGG